GCTTCAAGCAGTCAGCAGGTGCTGGAGGCAATCCATCCCCCAAACATAGACTGGTAAGCCCTGGCATGGAAAAGCCCTGGTTCCTGTTTCAACTGTTAAGAACCCAGAGCTCTGTCACTGCATCCAAGTTCTGCTTGCTAATAGCTCGAAGACCAGTTCTCAGGAAGGGAGAGTTGTTGGGGGCCAGAGATTTCTTTAACTTCTTAAATGTAAAATTGTAAGCAATGTAAAACCATGTTCCTTTTTAGGCTTTAGAAGCTTTTACAAGGGCACTTGTCATGGACAAATTCTGTCATGATCCAAAGTAACAACTGGATTAGGACCCTGCTAGGGTTAGGAAAGACTAATCTGACCTGAGCACTGTAGTCTGAGATCTATAGTGAGATGTCCCCAGGAGTGCCACCCTATAAGCTTAATGTATCTCATACTGTGTCCATACAAAATGACTAATATTATTAAAGGTAAAGGTAAAGGTAAAGGCCCTCCCGTTGTTCATCAATTTGCTCGAGCGGGCCCAGTAATGTCTCCATTGGAGACTTTGTTGTTACTGTGTTTGGCATATCGAATACGTCACGGGGAGCTTGCCAGGCTTTGCCGTGCGGGCGAGATACTCTCGGTGGCTTGCTGGGCTCTCCGAGAGGGGCAGAGGAATCGAACTCGGGTCGGCCATGTTGGCTGCGTGCAAGGCAAACGCCCTACCGCTGTGCTATCGCTCCAGCCGCGATATAGAAATTAAGATATAGATTAAGATATAGATTAAGATTAAGATTAAGATATAGATTTAAGAATTAAAAATTATAGAATTAAGATATAGATTTAGAAATTATCTATAGAAATATAAATATATATTTCTAGAAATATAGAAATTAAGATAAAGATTAAGAAATAGAATTAAGATGAATGCTTAAATGGTTGTTGGAATAAGGACAGGAGAAATGCACCCCTAGATGGTATTTCGCCCTTAGGCGGGTCATCTTGCTGGATGAGAATTTGTCCTCGGAGACACTTCCCCTGCTGACTATATGACCACACCTATGTGAAATTGCTACCCCAACCCCTCATGATCTGGGGTATAATGAAGGCTGTAAGAGAAGGTAGAAAGAGAAGGATCGAGGAGAATCGAGAGGAGAATTGGGAGGAAAATGGAATAAACTGGGGCTGCTCACTAACCAGCCTGGCTCTCGTTTCCACCTTCATCTGCCCATTGGCTTCGACCATCCCAGGTTGGGGGGAGCGGTGTGAGACCACCGAACGCAGGTGGCGAGAGAGCGCCGAAGTTTCTTACTCATTTTTTTGAATACACAGTTTTTCTTTGGTAGAGCCCTAAAACATGGAGGAAACCCAAGGGAAATGCCCAGTGGTGTCTTCAGAAGAACTGGCTGGCAAGGGGCTGGGAGAAACAGTCAAGCAGGCAATGGGGGACAAAATAGAGGTGAATAGGGAGAGGGAGAGATAGAGGAATTGAGAGTCAAAATAGAAACAGGCCCTCCGGGACTGGGAGCTGTTAACTTTGTGAGTAGGGGTGCAGGAGAGAGGGAACCAGCACATAGTATCAAAAAGGAGCCATCTGGGCGGGTCCTGCACTTTGGCGTTCTTGGGCTATTTCAGTTGTGCGATATCAGTTTCTATTCCTGTGTTTCTTCGGCCATATCTGTGAGACCTGGGGAAACAGACAAACGTGTGCATTCCAGCTCTGGAAACCGACTCTCAACTCTGATAATTATTGTTTCTGTCCACTGGCAGAAGCCCAGCATCAGCAGTCCTGGCCATCAGGCATCTGCTGCTGGTGAGTGAGATTAGTGGGGAAGAAGGAGAAAAGAGAATGGGCGAGAATTCAAGGCTGTGACAGGAAGGAAGTGCTAGAACCACCTATCCCAGCGAGATGCCTAAAAGGGTGGAGGAAGAGCCTGGAATTTGGAGGAGGCAAGAATCTCTGTTTCACTGTATCACTGTCATTCTGTTGTTCATTGATTGCCTCGAGCAAGCCCCAGTAACGTCTCCTTTGTCCTATCCCTGAGATTTTAAAAAGTGCCACATTCGAGGCGCTTTCAGGGTCAGGAGAATGAGACCCATCATTGTCACTGGTTTTTGGCATATTGAATACGCCAGGGGGACTTTGCCAGACTCTGCCATGTGGGCAGGATACTTTTGGTAGCCTGCCAGGTTCTCCAGAGTAAGAACTAGATAATAAGATGTTGTCTTCCGGGAACCTGGTTTTATAGTCTCTGGGTCATGGCTGTTGATGGGATTACATGGCGCCGGGAGCAGTTGGTGGGTGTAACGCCTACATAGCGGAAGAAGGGGGATCTGGGTGGAAGAGGCCCCAGTCCCAATCCGAGCAGGCTTGGAGATCTATGCCTCGGGTCCCGCACATCTGAGTTCCTCTGCCTCCGCGCCTGGCTGTCCTCACCAGGGCCCCTTAGAGGAGGGTGGATTGAGCTTCCCTCCCCACCCTGAGCAGAGCCCCGGCAGCTAAAGACCTCCGGTTCCAGCCACAGCCATGCTTAAGACCACTCTCCACATGTTCAGACGAGCCTCACGCATGAAGGAACCAGGAGGTAAGAATACATGAACAAGTTGGGCCTGAAAGCCTATGGGCAGGAGATAAGATGGCCGGCCTCTGGGAGGGCTGGCAGGGCTGTCCACTCCGAGGACATGGCTGCCCGGTGATGCCTGATGCAGTGTCCCTGGACCAGATGTAGCACCTCACCTGGCAGGAGCAGGTAACGAGAGCAGGAGTGAGACCTCACAGGCCAGTGTGGCCATGGGGCCTGAGGTCAGATGCAAGTGGAGAGTGGAAGCAAATCAGCACCTGTGATGCCCTTCTGGAAGGTGGCACGGCTGACAAGTGTTTGGGACCCCTGCCCGGACCAGGATCAGGCCCCGAGAAGCTTCTGGGAAAGTGTTTTCTGGCCTAGCTGGGCCACACCAAAGGAATGCAGCCTGTCCTCTTTGTAGTCTCTGCTCAGCCCCCAGGACTGTCAACCCGGGCCAGCTCCCACGGATATAACTCCCTGGAGAAGTGGACCATCCTCCTGACTGGAAGCAGAGTGGATCTGCTGAAAAGCTGAGTCTCGAGACAGCTAGACCCAGAGGCTGGGGGCTGCAAGGGGTCGTGTGAGCATTGCACTGGTCTGGTCATTGGCTCCAACAGACACTCTCAGTCCACCAGCCAGGGGGACACCTTGGGACAACATCAAAGTCAAGCATTGATGGGCAGTGAACTGGGCTGAGGGAGCCAACAGGGTAGCATGGACCTCACAGAGCCAGAAAATCAGTGACCAGGGGCCGGAGCAATAGTAAAGTGGGTAGGGCATTTGCCTTGCACGCAGCAACCCGGGTTCGATTCCCAGCATCCCTTATGGTCCCCCAAGCACCGCCAGGAGTAATTCCTGAGTGCAGAGCCAGGAGTCAGCCCTGAGCACCGCCAGGTGTGGCCCAAAAAGAAAAAAAAATTAGTGACCGGATAGGGGCAGACCTACTTTCTGTCCCACATCAGAAATCCTTTCCCCAACTTCCTGTTGGCCAGACAAACCCAAATACCCCACACCCCAGTGACGACCAAGGTACACAGCAGACACCAGGGGAGTTCCGGCATTTCCTCATATCCTCTTTATTCTTCTACTGCTTTCAACATATGGGGAGGTGCTGGGGTTGTCACTGGAGATTTTTGAAGGTCCCAGGTGGAAGGTCACCGTGGGGTCCCCTTGGTGCTGGGAGAATTGTGTGCTGTGGAAGGGATTCAGTCACTCGTCTGAACCCCAGAGCCAGGCCCCAAGAACTGACCCAACAGAGCTCAGAAGAGTGTTGGAGGTGGTGGTGGAAGGGCCGCCCAAGCTAATAGTCATGAAAGAGTTAAGTGGTAGGAAAGAGTTAACCAGAAAACTGTAAAAGCTATGAAAGCTAGAGTTGCAAAAGCTGGCTCAAAAGAGTTATAATGTAGCTCCCACCTACACCCTGCTATGACCTTGTGGTTGGGCCAGATATGGGGACATGTGCTCAGATGTTCTGAAGAAGTTAATCTTGTGCAAGTGTCTAGTGCTGTTCTTGGTAAAGCTGCAGATTGCTGTACTGTAAGATTCCTCTGTTTATTCTTTGTTATAAAAACCCATTGTACTTTGGCTCAGGGTTCTCTGCCTCTGTCCTGTTTTCGGGACATGTAGTGAGCCCCAGCATGCTTGGACAATAAACCCTGTGCGTGTTGCATGAGAAAGTCTCTTGGAGTCTTCGACCCTAACAGTGGAGAGTCCTGCAGCCCGTGTGGGAGAAAAGGCAGGGGGGCAGGGGTGCTGATTGGGCATCCGACAGGGGCTGGGCCAGATCCCAGCACCCCGGGACAGGACACGTACCCCACACCCCACCCCTTCCCCAGACCCCACTCTGCTTAGACAAGGGTCCTTCAGGACAAACAGGAAGTTCTGGGCAGCTGACTCACTTGGGGGGGGGGCGGCGGGGGGAAGGGGCTGGGCCCAGGGTCAGGGGCGCTGCTCAGAGGTGTGGGGCTTCTGGGAGGTAGATGTCCTGGGCACCCTGTCCCTCCACCCCCTCCCCATGGAACAGGGACAGGGAGGGAGGACAAAGGTCCTGGAACTGGGGGAGAGCACAGGCTTCCCAGGGCTTAGCCCCAAACTGGGCTGACCTCTAGCCCCAGCCCCGGCTGGTACCCCCTACGTCCCCCCCCCCTCTTCTCACGCAGACACTACCCATTGACTGCAGAGTGGCCACCAGGCCACTACACACAGGCCTGCTTTATGCAAATGAGGGCTTCCTCCCTCACAGTTCTGATTGGTGGAAAGTTTGTCTAGTGGTGATTGGGTGGATACATACAATCCCAACTTAATTTGCTTTTACCAGGTCTCAGGTTGCTAGCTCTGCTTTTCATTCTCTTTATCATCCTACTCTTCAGATCCTGAACTGGGGACCTGGTGCTCCTTCTCCATTGGACACACACAGCCCCACCCACCCGGCCCCATTCCTCAGCACAGACAGACACAGGGAAGGTGACTGCAGTTCACCTTTATTTCTCAGGTTTGAACAATGTGTTGGAGGGGGGGCGGGGGGGTACTGCAATTGTCCCTGTGGGCAGTACCCTTCTGAGGACCAGAAGTGTAGACCTCCAGGGTAGAAGAGCTGCTTTCGCCCTGAGTCCATCGCCGAGAGAGGAAAGGTGTTTGCTTACAGAAGTAACAATCCGGCCCCAACACCAGACCCAACAGCACTTCCCAACATGAGACTGGATGACAAGGACAGTCCAGCGGCCCCTGTGGGAGAGAAGAGGGTGAGGTCTCCGAGGTTCTGAGGCTGTGGTGGACACCCAAAGTGCATATGTCCTCCACTGCTCCCTTGGGACCTGGGTTTGGGGCGAGGCTCCTGCAGGCGGCTGCCCAGAGAAAAGCAGGGACCCCTGATGCGGAACCGAGCCAAGCTGGACACAACAGCTGCCTCACTGTCCACAGGACAGGGTCTGGGGCCATCTAGAAAGGAGTCAGCTCCCGAGGGGGGCGGGTGATGAACGGAGAATGGACTCTGCTCCCCAGGCTCCTCCCAAAGGAGAAGGGTGGCTGAGATCAAGAACTTGGTCAGCCAAGATCCATGACAAGGGTGGAAGAGAGGGCCTGACTGCACTTAGCTTCACGCGAGCACACACCCCCACCATGTCTCCCTCTCTCCCTGCTGCCGTCCTCCTCACACAGACACTCACCCACTGACTGCAGAATGGCCACCAGGCTGCCCGCGGCCACAGCGCCCCCATTGGCAGTAGCCGCAGTGGACATCATTCCGGCTGCCAGGGATCCAGCGGTGATGCCGGCTCCGGTGAAGCCCAGGACACCTAGGACCACGGGCACGGACCCTACTGCGATCGCTGTGGGGATAGGAGCAGGGTTGGCCTCAGGAAAGGCCCCAGAAGGACCACACCCAGCAGGGGAAGTACAGGGACCCAGGAACAGGGGAAGGACAGGGACCCCAAAAAAGGGAAAGAGCAGGGACCAGGGGCCTGAGTGGGGGCCCAGGGCGAATGGGCCTTCTCTGCCCTCTCTTGTCCCCTGACACTAACCCTGTGGGCCACTGTGTGGTCACTGCCCAGGGGCGGTGACCCCACATCACCCCAAGCACAGAGGACAAAGGGCAGCTGCTCTGCTTGGTGGGGTGGGTGACTTCCCTTCGTGCCCGGCCCCAGTAACCACCTGCCACCCCCAGGCTGTGCTGTTGAGCTCTGTCACACATGTCTGAGTGTCACATTTTTGCTGCCTTCAGCTCACTGGTCTAATCACCTGGAACACCTGGGTCAGGGACCAGTCATTCAGGCTATAGCGGGTCGGACACAAACTTGACCTTCCAGGAGGGGTCCAAGCTCCACGGGTCAGTGACTAGTCCTGGACCTCAGGGGCTGCATGTCCTGTGTCCCCCTGGGGTCAGGGGGTGGTAACCTGGGCTCTCCCAACTGTGCCCCCTCCCCAACCGCACAGGGTCTAGACAGCCCAGGGCCCAGGTCCAGTGGGGACCCGCTCCCCACAGGACTCACCTCCAGTGACCACACTGGCAGCAATGATACCTGGAGGGGGACAAAGCACATCTGTGAGCCTCGCCCTGGTCTGTTCCCCGACCTCCACCACCAACGCTGCCTGGTCTCCAGGCCTGTCTGTCCCTGCTTGTCCGCAGCTGCTCCTTTCTGGAACTCTTCCTGGGCTCTGTGACACCCTCTCTCCCTCATGGGGACAGGCCGGACCTGGGCCCCTAAACACGTAGTCTCGTTCTCTCATCAAGACCAACCCCCAGTCCACAAGCACTTTGTAAGGGGAACCAATAAAAACTAAATGACAAAATAACCTCCCCCCCCCCCAAAAAAAAAACAAAGGAAATCAAATACTGCCTCTCTCCCTCCTTAGATATCCGAGCTTCATCTGGTCCACAGAGGCTGATAATCCCCAGAATCACATCACCTGCTGGTCACAAAGCATCTCTCCAACCAGACAGCAGGAAAACATGCTCCCCTTCCAGAAGGTTCTTACAAGACCTGATTCCTCATCAGCCCCCAGGCCCAGACAGCCCCTCTCAGGCCCTCCCCTACAGGGGCCTGAGTCTGGTTCTCTCCATCCTCCCCTGCACTCACCAAATTCAGCTCCAGCCACCTGGAATATTCCTCAGGCACCCAGGGATTCAATCCTCAGGTCAGGGCTAGGAGCAGCAGGGGCCCTTGGAGTCCTGGGGCCCCACTGTTCAGACCCCATGTGCCCTGATCCCCATTCTGACTCTGGGGGTGTCACAGACATTATGTTAGGGAGGTTTCCTTAGTGGGTGGAGCTGTGTGTGTGCTGGAGTTGGGGGGGGGTGGCGCCGCTCTGGAGAGGGTATCAGGGTCCAGTTACCTGCCATTTTCCTTGGGTTGTATGCAGAGGTCGACTCTGCTCCCTGCGGAAGAGAAGAGGGTTGCAGCTATGAGACCAGAGACCCAGACACCCCACAGAGCACCGTGCTCCATGTCCTGAGACCCCCGGAACGCTGATTGGCTGCAGTGAGGGTGTGGAAGGTCGGAGGGAACCAGTCTCAGACCCACCCAGATGAGCAGCACCCACCGCCCAAGGGGCACTGAGCCCGGGGAGGGGGAGATAAACTTGTTACCCCCTTGCGCCTCTGCCCTGGGACCCGCCGCTTCCCTTAGGTGGTGGCATGCTCTAATCCACCAGGATTACCGCACCCCTGGTATATAGGAATATTCCAGGTGGCTGGAGCTGAATTTGGTGAGTGCAGGGGAGGATGGAGAGATGGAGGGAACCGCATTCACAGCCACGGCGATGAACCAGGGAGAGGAGTGATGGGGTCCCAGAGATACCCAGAAAGCTGGACCTCCAGACTCTGCATCCCCAACCTGGCTTTATTTTTGCAGGGGGAGAGGCCCCAGGAACAGACCTGGGGAAGCCTGGGATCCCAGCTCTGAGGGCTCCCGCCTCTGAGGGTCCCCTTAGGCTGCGTCTCCCCCCACTCCAGCCTTCAGGCTGGAGGGCAGCTGGCTCTGGTCATCTTCTGGTTCCAGAGCCTGTGCTCTGAGCAGGTATTGGGGTATGGTGGGTGGCGGAGGCAGAGTTCTGTTGGGGGTCCCGTTCCCTCAGAGACCCACTGAGCAAAGGAGCATGGGGGTCCCTGCCCAGCCCAGCACCGCCGCCACCCCCTGCAGGAGCTCCCAGGACGGTCAGAGGCCCTTACCGAGAGAAACAGAAGAAGCTGGAACTCTTGGAGAGTCTCCTTGGCGCTGAACGTGCAGAAGTGCTTAAATTGGCTTCTGCCCTGGAGAAGCCCCGCCCCGCCGGCCGGAGGAGCCAATCAGAGGGGTTTCACTTTCCTGAGAAATGGAAACTGGGTTTCGGTTTCCTCTGCCCTGGGGAAAGTTCTCTCACCACTTTTCCTCCTTTTACTCTCAAGGGTTGAGAGTCGGGCTGTTGAGAGCAGGAGGCAAAAAATAAAATAAAATAATAAACTGTCACTGTCACTGCCCTCCTGTTGCTCATCAATTTGCTCCAGCGGGCCCAGTAACATTGTGAGATTTGTTATTACTGTGTTTGGCATATCAAATACTTCACAGGGAGCTTGCCAGGCATTGCTGTGCAAGTGAGATACTCTTGGTAGCTTGCCGGGCTCTCCGAGAGGGGCAGAGGAATCGAACTCGGGTCAGCCCAGTTGACCGTGTGCAAGGCAAACACACTACCCGGCCTGCTATCGCTCCAGCCCAAAATAAAACAAAACAAAATAAAATAAAATAACAAACAAAACCCAAACAATGTCCTCCCGTTGTTCATTGATTTGCTCGAGCGGGCCCAGTAACGTCTCCATCTTTTGAGACTGGCTGTTACAATATGTTAGGCATATTGAATACGTCACGGGTAGCTTGCCAGGCATTGCAGTGCGAGCAAGATACTCTCGGTAGCTTGCCGGGCTCTCCGAGAGGGGTGGAGGAATCGAATCCGGTTTGGCCAGACTGGCTGCACACAAGGCAAACGCCCTACCACCGTGTTATCTGTTAACAAGGCAAACACCCTATCACTGTGTCATCTGTTAACAGCGTTTCCTTCCCTGAGCTGGAAGATTCTCCAGGAACTAGATCCTTGACAGAAGAAACTGAGGCGGCAGGGGAACCCGAGGAGAACAGAAGTAGAGAAGGAAGGCTGGGGAGAAATAAGCCAGAGGCCAGTGCTGGGCCTCTAAACAACACCTAAACACCTTCAGGAGAATCCTTGTGACTCAAGGGTAGGGGCGTGTCAGGGATGGCACAGAACTTGAGACTCCTGCTTTGGGAGGGCTCAGTGGGCATTTGTGGGCATTTCTAGAGGAATTTCCAACACGAGAGCAAGACATTCAATCAAAGGGACAGGGAGATGGAGTATTCCCGTGGTGAGTTATGAGACGGGCCCTGCTGGGGTCTCACAGCCCATGCACCTGTGCTGACGGCCCCTGTTTAAGTGACTGGGGGCTGTTGTGGGAAGGGTGCGTCGCAGTGAAGGTGGCACCGGCAGCACCAGGAGGGAAGGCACAGTCATGGCAGGTAGACACTTCCTCCTCTCGGAGATATGTCCCAAAGCCCTAGCCAGTGGTCAGAGAGTTTTTTTGCTGGATTCCAGAGATTCTGCCAGTGATAATGTTTCTAAAATACCCAAGCACCAGACCCCAAACAGGAATTTGTGTTGGATACTTTGTGTTGGGACCTGAGAAAGCTTTCTTTCTTTTTTTAAATTTTTTTGAATAATTTTTTATTGGGCGGGTAGGGCATTTGCCTTGCACGCAGCCAACATGGCTGACCCAAGTTCGATTCCTTCGCCCCTCTCGGAGAGCCCAGCAAGCTACCGACAGTATCTCGCCCGCACAGCAAAGCCTGGCAAGCTCCCCGTGACGTATTCGATATGCCAAACACAGTAGCAACAAGTCTCACGATGGAGACATTACTGGGCCTGCTTGAGCAAATCGATGAACAACGGGAGGACCGTGACCGTGAATTTTTTATTAGTGAATCACTGCGAGGCACAGTTACAGACTTACAAACTTTTGTGCTTACGTTTCAGTCATACAATGATCGAGTACCCATCCCTTTACCAGTGCCCATTTTCCAACACCATGAAACCCAGTATCCCTCCCCCTACCCCCACTCCATCCCCCCCGCCCCCCCCCCCACGCTTCTTCTGTGGCAGGGCATTCCCTTTTGCTCTCTCTCTCCTTTTGGGCGTTGTGGTTTCCAGTGGAGGTATTAGGTGGCCATCTATGGTCTACTTTCAGCCTGCATCTCCTATCCACAGCAGGCTCTCCTAGTACCCTTTACTTGGTGGTCCCTTATCTATCTGAGGTGCCTTTTCCCCCAGCATGTGAGGCCGGCTTCCAAGCCATGAAGCAATCCTCCTGGTCCTTATCTCTACTGTTCTTGGGTGTTAGTCTCCTATTCTGTTACTTTATATTCCACAAATGAGTGCAATCTTTCTATGTCTGTTCCTCTCTTTCTGACTCATTTCACTTCACATAATACCACTTCTGGGAATATGTACCAGAGAGGCAAAAAAGTACAGTAGAAATGACATCTGCATTTATATGTTCATTGCAGCCCTGTTTACAATAGCCAGAATCTGGAAAAGACCCGAGTGCTTGAGAACAGATGACTGGTTAGGGAAACTTAGGTACATCTACACAGTGGAATACTATGCGGCTGTTAGAAAAGACGAAGTCATGAAATTTGCATATAAGTGGATCAACATGGAACGTATTATGAAAACTTTCTCCTTTTTTACCTTTTTAAAAGCAGCTTTATTGATATAAAATTGAATACCATAAAGTTCACTTATTTAAACCGAGATTCACTTTAAGCTATTTTCATTAACAGATAATCAAACTGTAGTACACATACGCTTTTATTTCATCTAAACTTTTTTTTTGGAAGTCACATTTTTTTAAAATTTTATTGGGCTGGAGTGATAGCACAGCAGTAAGGCATTTGCCTTGCGTGCAGCCAGCCTGGGCGAGCCAGGTTCAATTCCTACGCCCCTCTTGGAGAGCCTGGCAAGCTACCGAGAGTATCTCGCCTGTACGGCAAAGACTGGCAAGCTACCCATGACGTAGTCAATACGCCAAACACAGTAACAACAAGTCTCACAATGGAGATGTTACTGGGCCAGCTCGAGTAAATCGATGAACAATGGGAGGACCGTGACCGTGACTCAATTTTATTGGATCACCGCGAGATAGTTACAAGCTTTCATATTTGGGTTACAATCACACAATGATCAAACATCCATCCCTCCACCAGTGCACATTCCCCACCACCAATATCCCCCAAATACCCCATTTTTCCCACCCTCCCCCTGCCTCCATGGCAGACATGATTCCCCATAATCTCTCTCTACTTTTGAGCATTATGATTTGCAGTGCAGACCCTGAGAGGTTATCATGCTTGTTCCTTTATCAACTTTCTGCACACATCTCCCACCCCGACCGATTCCTCCAGCCATCTTTTTCTTAGTGATCCCTTCTCTATTCCAGCTGCCTTCTCCCCTTTGCTCTTGAGGCAGGCTTCCAGCTATGGAGCAATTTTCCTGTCCCGTGTATCTACTATCCTTAGGTGTCAGCCTCATGTTATGTTGCTTTATACTCCACAAACGGCAGTCCTTCTATGTCTGTCCCTCTCTTTCTGATTCATTTCACTTAGCGTGATACTCTTCATGTCTGTCCATTTATAAGCAAAGTTCATGACTTCATCTCTTCTGACAGTTGCATTGTATTCCATTGTGTAGATGTACCAAAGTTTCTTTAACCAGTCATCTGTTCTAGGGCACTTGGGTTGTTTCCAGATCTTGGCTATTGTGAAGAGTGCTGCAATGAACATATAGGTACAGATGTCATTTCTACTGTGCTTTTTTGCATCCTCGGGATATATTCCCAGAAGTGGTATTATGGGGTCATAGGAAAGCTCAATTTCTAGTTTTTGAAGGACTGTCCATATTGTTTTCCAGAAAGGCTGGACTAGTGGGGATTCCCACCAACAGTGAATGAGTGTCCCTTTTTCTTCACAACCACGCCAGCACTGGTTGCTTTTGTTCTTTTGAATGTGTGCCAGTCTCTGTGGTGTGAGATGATATCTCATTGTTGTTTTGATTTGCATCTCCCTGATGGCTAGCTATGTGGAGCATTTTTTCATGTTTCTTTTGGCCATTTGTATTTTTTTTTTTGAGGAAACTTCTGTTCATTTCTTCTCCCTATTTTTTGAAGGGGTTGGAAGTTTTTTTTCTTTTTTTTCTTTTTATTTATTTTTTTCAGACTATTCATTTTTTTTAAAATTTTTATTAGTGAAACACCATGAGGTACAGTCGTAGACTTACAAATTTTTGTGCTTGGGTTTCAGTTATACAATGGTCAAGTACCCATCCCTCCACCAGTGTCCATTTTCCACCATCATGAATCCCAGTATCCCTCCCACCCCCCATCCCCCCTATCCCACCCTGCCTCTGTGGCAGGGCATTCCCTTTTGCTCTCTCTCTCTCCTTTTGGGTGCTGTGATTTGCAAAAGAGGCATTGAGTGGCAATCATGTTTGGTCTATAGTCTACTTTCAGCATGCTTCTCCCATCCTGGGAGTATCCTCCTAACACCCTTTATTTGGTGCTCCCTTCTCTGAGCTGCCTTTTCCCCTAACGTGTGTGGCTGGCCTCCAAGCCATGGAGTAAAATTCCTGGTACTTATCTCGGCTATTCTTGGGTGTTAGTCTCCTATTTTGTTACTTTATGTTCCCCAGATAAATGCACTCTTTCTATGTCTGTCCCTTTCTTTCTGAGACATTTCGCTTAGCATGATACTTTCCATGTAGTACCACTTGTATGTAAATTTCATGACTTCATCTTTTCTAAGAGCTACATAGTACTCCATTGTGTAGATGTACCAAAGTTTCTTTAACCAGTCATCTGTTCTCAGGCACTCAGGTTTTTTCCAGATTCTGGCTATTGTAAAGAGTGCTACAATGAACAAACAAGTGCAGATGTCACTTTGACTATACTTTTTTGCCTCTCTGGGATATATTCCCAGGAGTGGTATTGCTGGGTCAAATGGGAGCTCAATTTCTAATTTTTTGAGAATCGTCCATACTGTTTTCCAAAAGGGCTGAACCAGTCGGCATTCCCACCAGCAGTGAAGGAGGGTCCCTTTCTCGCCACATCCGCGCCAGCACCTGTTGCTTTTGTTCTTTTGGATGTGGGCCAGTCTCTGTGGTGTGAGATGATATCTCATTGTTGTTTTGATCTGTGTCTCCCT